GGAATCCATTGGTGGGGTCACACGTTCGGTTCGAGTCCTGTTTAGCGACTCTGGAGCTCAAAACGCGTCTAGAGTTTTGGCCGCCGGCGCCGGTCTTCTGGCCCACTGTGCGGCGGCGGCCCCGCGCTGTGACTGGGCCGAGGCCTCGGCGACGCCGCTCCAGGCCACACAGCGCCAGCAGCGCGCACCACAGGCAGCGCTCGCTCATCCCGCACTGCTTATCACGGACCAGATAAAGGAAGCGCCGCGACACTGCGGCCCGGCGCGTGGGTGGGCGTCGTCGGGGACCTCGGAGTCGACGGCTTCCGCTTTTATCTTAATTGGGGCAATTGAATAGATATGCCTGTCATCGCTAGAGGAGAAGAGATCGACACTAGAAGGAGAAGTGCGATACGCGCGTCGAGTGCATTGCATCGCGGGAAGGGAGGGAGGGAGGGAGGAGGGGGATGGGGGGGGGGAGGGGGGGGGGACGGGGAGGGGGAGTAGGGGAGGGAGAGAGAGAGAGAGAGAGAGAGAGAAGAGAGAAGAGAGAGGAGAGAGGGATAGGGGAGGAGAGGGGAGGGAGGGAGAGAGAGAGGGAGGGAGGAAGAGAGAGAGGGAAGGAGGGAGAGAGAGAGGGAAGGAGGGAGAGAGAGAGGGAAGGAGGGAGAGAGAGAGGGAAGGAGAGAGAGGGAAGGAGAGAGAGGGAAGGAGGGAGAGGGAAGGAGGGAGAGGGAAGGAGGGAGAGGGAGAGAGAGAGGGAGAGGGGGAGAGGGAGGCGGGGAGAGGGAGGCGGGGAGAGGAGGAGGAGGAGTGGGGCGCTAAACGCCACCAGACGACTCGCGTCGCTATCACCCGCAGAGATTACCGCGGTTACCTCAGAAGCGAGAAGGGAGGGGGGCTGCAGTCTGCAGTCGATAAGATGGCCGTGTGGTCTAGGTCGGGCGCGGGGCGGAGCGCGGGGCGGAGCGCGGCCAAGCGGCTGGGCGCGGGCCGCTTTAGAAAGGTGCACAAATCGGAGTGGAAAAAACGTGCGCCTTTGCAGTGGCGTGGCAACGGTACACTTCGGCCTTGACTTTGAGCGAGTTTCCACTCGATCTGCTCCACCGCTAACACACGCCCCGCCCCGCCCCGCCCCGCCGTGGACGTCGCCCCCGTCGTCCAGCAAGCCGGCCGCGCGTGGTGGCGGTCCAGCAGTCCAGAGCAGCTGATTGTTTTCAAATCACGTTCGCCAAGGCCGGGCCGGCCGGGCCCCGCGATGGCTGGCTGCCTGGCTGGCTGGCGCGGGTTGCACACAGCGTTAGGCCGACACCAACACACTCGCGCGCGCCTGCAGTCCATCCACGTGCAGAACTAGCGAAAATAAAAAGCCACTTGGCAGGCGCGGCACGCGGCACGCAGCACGCCGCGGGTAGCGGCCGGCGGTGGCGGCGCGGTAAACCGGTACCAGCCGAACTGGCAGAGATAGCAGCACTCATTCCGAAGGCGCGTTGTCACCGTCTCTCTCGCACTCGCGGGGCGTACCGTAAGGGTGCGAGAGAGACAGAGGCGCGGAATGGCGCTGCGCGTCTGTCTGGTGAACACGCCGGGGGACAACAAGAACACGCGAATAAATTGACACTGCTGCTGGCGAGGTGGCTCGGCCGCTCGGCCACGTGGCTTGACGGCTCGACTCGCGCCGGGCAGCGCTCTGGCTCTCTCGCACCCCGACGGGGCACCCGCGACACCCCGGTCGCACGAGAGAGACGGAGCGTCGACAACCATGTGCGAATCGCTCGGCCGGGTAAATGAAACACAAGCCAAAGGGTCACCGACGGGGCACAGTGGGCCAGAAGACCGGTGGAGTGGAGGTGGACAAAATTCTAGACGCGCGTTTTTACCTCCAGAGTCACCACTAAATGGTACTCGAATCGCACGTGTGACCCCACCAATGGATTCCTCGTCCGGAGAGCAATCCATTGGTGGGGTCACACGATCAGTTAGAGTACCATTTAGCGACTCTAGAGCTCGAAACGCGTCTAGAATGTTGGCCGCCTGCGCCGGTCTCCTGGCCCACTACTGTGCTCGGCCAGGCTGCGTACAGTAAGTAGATTGCAGACGAGCAGCACGGCGCGGCGTGCGCGCGGCCTAAACGGCAGCGGAAAAACGAAGGTACACAAAAAGGAAGAAATAATAGATTAGGTCAACGCCCTCGCCACCGCGCGTGACAGACGGCCGGCCAGCCAGTCTGCCTAACTGCTTGCCTGTCTGATGATTCACTTTTACTCCACCGCGAATATCCAGCCAAATCAATAAAAGCATTCCCTTCATCCTCGAGGGGAAGGAGAGGGGGCGTCGAACTACTCACGCGACGGCGGCGCAACGAGGGGAGGAGGGGAGGGGAGGGAGTGGGGGAAGGTTGCATACCACTCTGCTCCTCGTGGCCGCAGTGTATGAACTGCGAGTACATGAGCAACTACTAACTGGTCTACGCGCTGGCAAAGGGGGTAATGGAGAAGGGGGAAGGAGAAGAGGGGAAGCGGAAGAGAGGGGGAAAGGGGAGGGGCGTTCATAAAGTCACCCGGCGCCATTGCACTGCAACGCCCCTTCAGCGACACCGGCTGCCCGATCTCGTCGTCGCGGCATGCACATGTGGCTGGCATCGCGATCCGCCTCAACGGCCCCCTGGCCCACGGCGCGCGGCACAGTGGGCCAGAAGACCAGTGGAGGCGGACAAAACTCTAGACGCGTTTCGAGCTCCAGAGTCGCTAAGCAGGATTCGAACCGAACGTGTGACCCCACCAATGGATTGCTCTCCGAACAAGGAATCCATTGGTGGGGTCACACGCTCGATTCGAGTCCCGTTTAGCGACTCTGGAGCTCAAAACGCGTCTAGAGTTTTGGCCGCCTCCACCGGTCTTCTGGCCCACGGCGCACGGGGCGGTGCTCTGGGCGTCGCAGCAGCGGCAGGCCGGGAGGCTGACGCGCGGCGGCGTTGACGAGTCGCGGGGACTTTTGGCACGTTCGCTTTTTGGCCTAGTTTCTCCACGGCACCCCGCCAGGCCTACGACTCGATCAGCAAGGCCGAGGGTTCAAATACCGGTCCTGCCGTTTTACTTTTATTTCCCCTCCCCGACGCGACACTGACCTCCACGCCAACCACCGCCGGCACCACCACCAGCAGCGCCGCTGCGCCCGGGGCACGCCGGGAGGACCGGGAGCTGTAGCAGCTGGAACCGGACGGCTTCGCGTCGGACAGACCACTCGACGTATACGCGACACCGCAGAGCGAGCGGCTGAATGAATGCGTGCGTGCCTGCCAGTGTGCGTGCGCGGCGACACACCTCGGTCACGCACCTCCGTATCCCTTCCTTTCTTACTAAATACATTTTTTAGAAAAATAAAAACTACGCGCAGCTGCAATTTTTTACTTGCGGTTTCTTCGCCGCCCTAATAGTCCCCTCTCATTCGAATCCAACCGTTACGCGCCGTTTCTAGAGCGTCGCCCGGCGTGTGGCAACGCCGCGGCCGTGCTGGCCGTGCTGGCCGTGCGCGTGTGCCCCACAATCGGTTCCACTTTTCAGCGCATTGGCTGATAACGCTCGCGTGCGCCGCCGGCGACAAGACTCGGCCGTGTTTCCCTAAAAGGGAGGCCTTTCACCGCCGTCGGCGCCGCCGCGGCCCGCGGGTACGCCAAACGCCGTCGAACGCCTTCGACGACAACGCCACTGGGACAGTGACAGTCGTCAAAGAGGCTGTCCCACACTGGTCTGAACCTACAAGACCAGCGGCGCTACGGCACACTACGGCCTCGCCCGGGGCCCGGGGCCTAGAGCACGGCGTCGACGGCCGACCGTCGGGTACCGCCGGGCCGCGCGCGGTTCGATACAAAGATCGTCAACGGGTGGATCGCGTTGGATCGTGCTCGCCAACGTCGGTCCGAGTCGGTCCCGAGCCAAGCCCTGGCGGGCGTGGGCCCGGCCGGCGACTGGCCCAGCTTCGAATCCCGGCAGAAGCCTGCATTTTTGTCGGTCTCTGGTACCTTTCAGGTTCTTGAAAAAGAATATCCACGGTATTTATATATGCCGTGAAATGTTAGTTGCGGTTGCAGCTCTGAAATCGCGAAAAAAAATTGAAGCGCCGCCGGGACTTGAAGCTGGTCAACGGTTTGGGCCAAAACCGGCGCTTCGGTTTGGTTCCGAACCGACCCGAACCGACGTTCGCGAGCACGATCCATCGCGATCCACCCGTTGACGATCTTTGGTTCGATACGGTGTCGGCAATCGGCGAGAGGGGTCCGGCGATAGCCGACAGACGAACCGACCTCCAACCTCCGAGGCCCCGCGGATCCCGCCCAAAAGAGTTTAAAAACGTCGAATTGAAAAAACGGCTGAGGTCTTTGTCGGATTCACACTTCACGCCCGAAGAGTCGTGAAGGTGCCATTGAAACAAAAAAGTGAGACACAGTTCGATCACGTCACCTGAGCGAGTGCAAAACCCCGCACACGCAAAACAAAAACAATGATAGTAAACATTTCTACATGGAAAAGAATGAATGACAAAATGTCGCAGCACTGCTTTTTTTTTTTTCAGTGACCCCTTCCCAGCGCTGCAAGCGGCAAGGTTCTTCCCCGGGGCCAGGCGCCGGCGAGGCATGTCACATAGTAGCCATGTGACCATACAACTCCCCCGCCCCGCCGCCCCGCCCCGCCGCCGCGGCGTCGCGACGCCTGGCTGCCAGAGACGCCCATCCCAGGCGTCACGGCTACAGTGGGGCCGCGCTGCCGCGGCACGGCGCGCCGCACGCCCACGCCCCTCGTTACTTAGACACGCCGCCCGGCGACACAGCGCCGGGACAGTGCATTTGCTCGGAAAACCCGGTTCTAAACAGTCAAGTGAACCCAGCCTCCCCACTTCCCTCACACACACGCAAACACACTGACGCACTCACACACGCGCGCGCGCCGTCGTCGTCGAGGAGCATATAGACACACTCGGCAGCCGATGTCAATGATGTCAGTGCTGGGGCCCCGAAAACTCACCTCGCTGGTCGACTAGGCCCGCGGCGCGGCACTGTGAGGCACTGCGCGGCACCTGGAGGTCGCCGTCGTCACCGCCGCGGTGGTGCTGGCTGGCTGTCGCTGGCTGTCGCGCTGTGGCCGTGCGTGTGAGGTTATGGGGTGCGCTGCGGTTTCGGGCTGGCGGGCTGGCGGCTCGGCGCGGCGCGACAGCGATGCACGACCAGACACAAACACGTGGTGACTGACGTCGGCGCGGTGGCGGCTGGTGGCGGCGTGGTGGCAGGCCTGGCCCAGCCGCACGGATGTGAGGTGGGGGAGTGCCCAACGCAGCCCGGCCCAGCGCAGCGAACGCAGCCCAGCGTGCCCACCCAGTCCCTTGTCGCGGTCGGCTGAGTGGAGTAGGCGGCGTGGCGCGGCGTGGCGGCGAGTGGTGCTGGCTCGGCTCGGCGGTGCTCGCCTGTCGCTTGCTGTCTAGCGCGGCCCACACTAGCCCACACTCACTCACTGACTGGCTCACTGGGAAGGGCAGTGGCGCAGCCAGGCCAGCCAGGCGCAGCGCCGCGGAGGCTTAGGGGCAGCCAGGGGCGCTCCAGGGGCGGCTCGAAGGGGGAGGGGGCGTCGTCGGACAGCCCCAGCGGCCCCAGCGGCCCCAGCGGCCCCGGCGGCCCCGGCAGTCCCCGCCCCCTACCCCCGCGCGCGCGCGCCACCTCAATGCCACGATGCCGCCCCCCCGCGCCACTCGCCGATGTGGCCGAGGGGAACCGACTGGCCGCGGGGAGGGGAGGGGGAGGGAGGGGTGTCTTCCAGCGGATCTGTCTGCTGCGCCGCTGCCCTTCCCGCCAACGTGCGTGCGTGCATCCAGCGGATCCTCCGTCCGTCCGTCCGTCCGTCACTGACCAAAGGCCTGTGCGAGTGTGTGTGTGTGTGTGTGTGTGTGTGTGTGGTGTGTGTGTGTGTGTCCACCACCCACACATGGCCACACGGGACATCGCCAGGAAAGAGAGAGGGGGGCGGGCGGCCTGCACGCCTGCACTGCACCGGGCCGCGCTCGCCGCGCTGCACCGGCCATGCTATTTGGCCCCCATTTGCTGAGGCGCACTTCCCAGACGGACAGGTGCGCGGATGGCGGTGGCCAGGCATGCCGACGGGCAGACAGACAGACAGACAGACAGACAGACAGACAGACAGACAGACACAGACAGACAGACAGACGGACGGACGGGCAGACAGACGGACGGGCGGACAGACAGAGACAACGACAGCGCTGCGACCGCCTCGGCGACCGCCGTTTCCAATTTGGCGGTGGATTGCGGACTGCAGGGACACTGGCGGCATGCTGGCGGCGCGGCGTGTTAACGTGGCCATTCAGTGGGTGCGGAAGTACACGCACCGCACGGGTGCATTGATGGACGACGCCGAGGACGTCAACGACGTCAAGGCCGCGGGGTCGGACCGGGGTCACGTCGCCACAGCAAACTGATTCCAAGAGCGAGAGTCTTTGTCGCCTCTAGGCCTCCTCGGGCCTCTCACGCTCCCAGGAAGGACGACCCACGAGTGCACGAGTGACAGAGCGACCGAGAGCGACTTTCGGAATCAGTGGTCTGCTGATGACGACGCTGAGGACGCACAGTGGGCCAGAAGACCGGTGGAGGCGGACAAACCTCTAGATGTGTTTTGAGCTCCAGAGTCGCTAAATGGGACCAGAACCGAACGTGTGACCCCACCAATGGACTGCTCTCCGAACGAGGAATCCATTGGTGGGGTCACACACTCGGTTCGAGTCTTGCTTAGCGACTCTGGAGCTCAAAACGCGTTCGGAGTTTTGGCCGGTCTTCTGGTCCACTGCACTGAGGGAAATGTTTTGGGGCCACACCTAAACTTACAGCTGTGACAACCAATCTGTTTGGTCGCTGGGGGTTCAATTAAACGTTCGTTGGCCACATTTAAATCGTTTAGTCGCACTACTTTAGTTGTGAGATGTACTCTTTTTCTAACATGTCGCCTGTCTATTTTAGCCACTGCCACTAAATCAAATCTTGTTACAGTGACTGAATGCGATAAGGTCTGACGATTGTTTAGTCCTGACACATAAACGTAAACCGATGAAAAAACGACTGCAAAACGAGTACTCGAACCACAGACCTACGTGTTACGAGTCCGTCGCTCTACCAACTCGCCCACCTGGCTGACTGAGAGACGCCGGCATTGATGGGCCTCTTGGACTGACGAATGTGTGCGGACGCACCGAGAAAATGATAGCTCGCTCCCTTTCCTGGGGTCCCAAGTGTCCCACAGTCCATCTCCTGACAGCACAATAGTATACAAAGATACTATGCCAGGAGAAACTGGTTGCGCTACGGGGAGTTGAACCCCCGAACCCGACTTCTTATCCAGCCTCCAGGCGCGGAGACCACTGAGCTACCGCACTGTTGAGAATGTGGCGGAGCGCTGGGCGATGGCAACGCGACTTCCGTGTTGAGTGTACCATCGCCAGTGTTTCGGTGCCACACCTAAACGCTTTAGTCGCGACTACTGACCATCGATCAAGCCTATGACTAAAGCCAGTTTAATCGAGTCCTTTCATGCTGACTATTATTGGCGGTTCAGTCACTCTCACTATTTAGCAGTCTTATTGTGATCATCGGCTGAACAGTTGCAAGGATTGAACTCGTGTAACTGTCGCCATTGGGGGGTTCCACAAAACACAGTTTTATCGTGAGGCACCGACCCCTTCTCTCAGTGTGTGGGACGCGCGCCCGCGCCTGACGGGGTGCCCTCGCCCAGGGCGGCCAGGGCTACCTACCTCACCGGATGCGGTCCAGCGTGTTGACATAATCCGCGGCTCCAATTCACAGCCGGCATCACAAACACCGCCGCGCTGTTTGCCAATCGCGTTAAGAAGGAATCGACCTCTGGCGCGCCCTGGCCGCAATGCGCACTTCCCACTTCCCTTTCGACGACTTTGAGGCAGTGAGGACTTTGACACTGGCTAGCCCGGCCCGGCGGGGCGGGGCAAGGCGGGGTGGTTTGCAGCCTGGCCCCGCACAGTGGGCCAGAAGACCGGTGGAGGCGGCCAAAACTCCGAACGCGTTTTGAGCTCCAGAGTCGCTCAGCAGGACTCGAACCGAGTGTGTGACCCCACCAATGGATTCCTCGTTCGGAGAGCAGTCCATTGGTGGGGTCACACGTTCGGTTCGGGTCCCATTTAGCGACTCTGGAGCTCAATCCGCGTCTAGAGTTTTGTCCGCCTCCACCGGTCTTCTGGCCCACTGTGCACCGGTACGCCATGCTGGCGGGAAGGGAGCTCCCTGTACCGCCTAAGCGGCCCGTCCCAGCAGGATCCGGCCAGGAGTTAACAGCCGTGGCAAGGATGCAGCCATCAGCACCTCCGGTCCAGGCACGCTCCAGGCACTGTCCAGGCACGCCCCACTCGCCCAGGTCGCAGGCAGAGGCTGTTGGCAGACTTCATTATGCTCCGCAAAGGCCTAACCTAACCAGATTGCCTTCGAAGGATGGGTGAGGCGCGCTTGCTTGCTTCAGTGGGTTTGCCCGCCCCGCCGCCCCGCGTCGAGAGGACCCTAAGCACCAAGCCCGTCCGGCTGGTCTGGCGTAGGCACTGGGCTAGCCTAGCCGGGGCTGTCGGGCCTAGCGCCCGCGGAACGGAGGATGCTGCCCCGCAACGCAGCCGCGTCCGGCGGGCTGGTCTACCCCGCCCACTCCATTACCATTACCATTAAGGGCTAGACCACACATGATCGTATGCCATTTCGGGAGGCGCTCGGGCCGCCGCTCGCATGTCCTGCAGACGCAGACTCTCTCTCACTCATGGGGCGTCGCGTGTAGGTGCGAGAGAGACAGACCGGGTCGGCCCCCTCCAGCCGTCTGATTCCTAGCACTCAGAGGTCGGACTTTTGAGCGATTTCGGCTGGCTGCAACGGCTGGGCGACAGCCGTTGCCTTGGGATTCGGCTGGCCCGGGCCGGCCCAGCCAGCCAAAGTCGGCTGGCTGGGACCCAGCCGAGTTCGGCTGGGCAGCCACGGGGCGGCTGTCGCGGCCGGAGGCAGCACTGGGAGGTGAGAGGGGAAGGGAGGGTCGAGCGTCGCCGGCCTAGCAGACGAAACGAGCCAGAGCCGGCACCGTCGCTGAGGCGACGCCGGCGACGCACTGCGACGCGCTCTCTGTCGCACACGTTGGCAGCCGGAGGCGGCTGAGGCCCAGCCTTTGCAGCCAGCCGACGTAGCGCAAAAGTCCGACCTCTGCTAGCACTGCTTTCGTCGCTCTGTCTCTCCCGCACTCATGGGGCGGTCCGTTGGGGTGCGAGAGAGACAGAGTGACGAAGCAGTGTTCGGCATCAGACGGTAGGCCGGCGGCCGGCGACCCTGGTCCACGGATGCACTTGCCGACCCGCGGCATAACCTCACGTCCACGCCGCCAAGCACCGCGCTGCCGCTGCACCGGCGTTGTTTGGAACGGTGGCAGCGCGCGCAGCGGCGGCCGGCGAGGGCGAGGACGCTCCGCCACTGTTTGCTCCGCGAGTGTTTGCCAGTCGACATGCATTAACACCCGGCAAGGCGAGGCGGGGCGCCGCTTGATCCGGACGCGACGGCGGCCGGCGCGCAGTGGGCTAGAAGACCAGTGGAGGCGGCCAAAACTCTAGACGCGTTTTGAGCTCCAGAGTCGCTAAATGGGACTCGAACCGAACGTGTGACCCCACCAACGGATTGCTCTCCGAACGAGGAATCCATTGATGGGGTCACACGCTCGGTTGGAGCCCTGTTTAGCGACTCTGGAGCTCAAAACGCGTCTAGAGTTTTGGCCGCGTCCACCGGTCTTCTGGCCCACTGCGCGGCGGCCGACGGCGGCCCTAGGCGACGAGGCCTCGGACCGCGTGGACCGCCTGCCTGCTTGGACCGCGGCGGGCGCGTGCCCCGAACAATTAGGGTCGACGGCTGCGACTCCAAACACGCCACCATTGTCGCCGAGGTGCGTTCAACGCGCCGCGGCGCGCTGCACGGCGCCGGCCCTCGACCCCCGCCCGTTTACCGGCATGCAGCGACTGGGAACCTCGATAACACGCAGGGAGAGCGGGGCAGGGGCACCACGGCGACGACGCGCCCGCAGCTGCCGCCATGCCGCGCCCGGAGCCTCTAAAACCAAGCAGTGAATATGGATATATGGCAGTTCTCATCCCGGTCGGCAAACAAGGCAACATTCTGATCAAGATGAAGACCCGTAGCGCGTGCGTCAGCGCGTCAGCAACCGATTTCGAGAGTCTTTTTGTCGCTCTTCTCTCTCGCACTCATAGGCCGATCCCTATTGGTGCGAGTGAGACAGAGCGACGAACTCGGAATCAGTCTGCTGGGCGCACAAGAGGCGCTGGCAGTTCGGCGCTGGCGGCAAACTGCGAAACTGCGAATCGCCGTCGCTGCCCGTGTTTGCTTTTCCCAGCCGTCTGATTCCGAACACTGCTTCGTCGCTCTGTCTCTCTCGCACCCCTACGGACCGCCCCATGAGTGCGAGAGAGACAGAGCGACGAAGGCAGTGCTCGGAATCAGACGGCAGGGCAGATGCTCGATGCCTCGCACCGCGTGCGCTTTCCTGCTCCACGGAGTGACTCCGAACCGCGCGTGGCTGTCCCTCTCACTCTCGTGGGGCTTGGCGTCGGGGTGCGAGAGAGACGGCGCGTTCGGACGCAGCCGGCTTGGCCCGCGGCGGGGCTCCGCCGCCTTGCCCAACGCGAGTGAGAGTGACGGAGACAGATGCCGTCCATAAGGGTCGCGCAGGTGGTGCCGTGTGACGGGCCCTTCCTTGGCTCAGCCCGCGGCCCTGTTGGGCCGGGAGCGCCACAACTAGGTCGCCACGGCTGCCAAACGCCGCGACCCTCAGCCCTCGGGCGAAAGGGCGCTTCTTGAGGGCAAAGGGCTCGCCTTTTTTCGGAGGCTGCTTGCCGCGGGGCTCTAAGACGACGCTCTACGCTCTGCGATGGTCCGGCGGGCAGGACGCGCCCGAGGAGAGGCGCCCCGCCCGAGGCTCGCAGCCAGCAGCACGCACTTGCGTATTCTCTCCACTGCAAGTGTAGCCACGCTGGCGCTGCGTCGCTGGCCTCTGTGCGCGGTGCGAGGTGCAGGGGCCTCCAGGGGCACGTGAGGCGCCGCGGTGGGGCGGGGCGGGGCGGGGCGGGGCGGGGCAGCCACATTGATTGCATGCAGCGCCACGGTGCGCCCTCAAGGTGCCGCAGCACGCCGAAGCGACGATCTGACACACAATCGATTAGGCTGCTGACAACAACGTCTCACTTTGCAGCCGAGTACAGTCACTCTCAAAAAGCGCATCGCGCATCGTTGGTGGCGGCGAAGGCGGATGACGGGCCGAGGCGGACCGAGGGGTGCCGCCACGCCCCCGCCCTCTTGGGCCCTCTGGGGCCGCAGGGAACAAGGCCGCTTTCACCTGATGACATTCCGAGAAGGGGTGCGCTGCTCACGCTGCTCTCGCTGCTCGGCCCATTTTCGGAAGAAAGCCGACTCGCGCCGCCCGCGCTGCCGCCTGCCTTCCCCGTCTAGCCCGGTCTGGCCGCGTCTGGCCGCGCGGCTGGTATGGCGGAGGCGGGGCGCGGCACAGTGGGCCAGAAGGCCGGTGGAGGCGGCCAAAACTCTAGATGCGTTTTGAACTCCAGAGTCGCTAAATGGGACTCGTACCAAACGTGTGACCCCACCTATGGATTCCTTTGGATTCCTTGTTCTGAGAGCAATCCATTGGTGGGGTCACACGTTCGGTTCGAGTCCCATTTAGCGACTCTGGAGCTCAAAACGCGTCTAGAGTTTGGGCCACCTCCGCCGGCATTCTGGCCCACTGTGCGCGGCTGACTGGGGCTGCAGGCTGATTCCGAACAGTGTCGTGACAGTGCGCTGTCGAAGCTCTGTCTCCCTCGCACTCACGGGCCGTGCCGCTCGGGTGCGAGAGACAGCACTGCGTAGACCCCTGCCGTGGCTGCGTACGTCGTTTTCGACCCCTAATCTCTCTCTGCCCCCTCGGCCGCCCCGATGGCGAGACCCCACCTCCACGGCGTGCTTGGCGTGCTTGCCGGTGCCCCGGGCCGACGGGGCCTTGGACGGGGCGGCTGACGCGGTGGCCGACACTGCCCACCCTGCAGCGCTGGAGCGGCCGGAGCGGCCCGGTTATCCGGCCGCGAGTTGTTTGAGGTGCCCGTTAACGGCGTGACTCGGCGAAACGACACAGCGGTGACGGCGAGTCCAAAATCGGAAATCGCGCCGCGAAAGATGGTGCCATCATTCGCCAAAAACAACAAAAGAAGCCTCCCTGCCCGGAATCTGTGTCCGCAAGGTGATCGAAGTCCCTCCCGCGCGGGGTAGCACCCACTGGGACCGACGTTCAAGCCGTGGGACGGGCGGGTTGCCCAACAGGTGGAAGGCAAGAGCACGGCAACAGGAAGCGGAAATTTCGAACGATATCCGCGCGCCGCTCGGCGCTAGGCCTTCTAGGCCTTCTCGGCCTCGCGCGCAACGCGTGAATAAAAGTCAAACAAGAAAGCCTAGCCGCCCCATTCCCACGCACCGCGGATCCGTGACGAAATGGCGACCGACCTGTATTGGGAGCAGCGGGGCGCATTCCGAATGGTCGCGCTGTCTCTCTCGCACCCCCACGTCAAGTCCGCGCGCCCCGCGAGTGCGAGAGAGACGGGCGTCCGGAGCGCGCCGTTCGGCGGCAACCCGCGGCCGGTGAAAGGGTCAAAGGGGTGCGCGGTGTGCGTCGGCGAGCCTAGTCCGGCCAGCGGAGTCCCGGCCAGCGGGTGGACTATGGAAATGCGACCAGGACGGGAATACCGCCGGCCGCGCGACAGCGGCCAGAATGACTAACCTTTTTCTTTCTTGCCTGTTTTTTTTTGGTCTTGTTGTCAGGTGGCGGTCCCCTGGCGAGTGTACGATAGTAGGCGGCGGTAGTGGCTTCTATTACGCCCGGCCCGCAGCAGAACAACACAGCGATTTTGCGAGCCGATTTCGGCTGGAGTGAGTGGGGGTAGGATGGAGCGACACGGAGTCGGCCACGGGGAGCACCGCAAGAAAGATCGCACCGGCCATCTCCGCAGCCAAGTCATGGGAAGCGGCCGAATGCCGGACCCACGGCAGCGACTATCACCACCTGCGTCGTCTGTCCCAACTCCCAACGGATCGCCGCCGCGGCAGTGCGGCTCCACGAAGCTCCCGGAAACCGCCTCGCCGCCAATCCAAACTCGACCTCTTCTTTCCTTTCCGCGTCAAATGGGGAAAACTGATCCGCGCCGGGCGAGTGAACGTCGGTGGGCAACGACCCGATAGACCAAGAGAAATGAATATCAAGTAGTCGTCCTTCGGCGGGCCGGCCGGGCCTCTAGGCCGGGCCTGCTGTCGACTGATTCCGAGGGCCGCCTTCGTCGCTCTGTCTCTCTCGCACTCGTGGGCCGCCCCTTTAGGTGCGAGAGAGACAGAGCGACGAAAGGCGGCCCTCGGAATCAGTCGACTGGCTGGCGCGTGAGCCGAGCACGGCCGGGCACCAACACGAACACGAACGTGGCGCCACGGGGCCCGGCTCGACACGGTGCGGCACGGCACGCCTCGCAGCGCCCGAGCACCGGCCGCCCCGACCGCACCGCCGCGCGATGGGCTGCCTACCCGCCGACCCCCGCGGCGCAGCACGCAGAGACGCTGAGCGGCGAACCGTCCCTCCGCTCCGGTCGGTCCCTCCCCCTTCGGAACAACTGTGACGACTGTGACCTGCACCGAACCTGGTTCGGACCGGTCAAGGGGAGGAATGGAAGCACTCACCACAAATTTCCGCGAGAGGGAAATTCAGCCTGAGAGTAGAGGGATGCACGGACCACGCGATCAAATCCTGAGACAAAAAATATTAACCCTGAGACAAAAAATATTAACATCAAAGGTACGTAAAGATCAAAAGAAACGCTTTGTATGAAAAGTGCAGGAACGATTGGAGAAATTTTTAACACAAGTATGCGTTTGAAAAAGGTTCTAGAGAAGCAAAGTGCATTCATTCATTACAGGTAAATTTATTCAACGCCTGCACTAAAACATAAGACGAGGTGTCAAACAAAATGAAATCCGAGGGACAGCAGAAAACCCGCAAGGGGGACGAAGCATTCCATTCAGTTGACAAATTTAGCTTGCAGAGGAAATGAAAAATGAAAAAAAAAAAAAAGGCCGTACCCCCCGATACAGAAATAGATGCACCTAACCTGTTCCGACCGTATACACTGTAGAACGTCGACCGCGGCGAAAGACAGATAAAGGCACCTCGTGCGGACGGCGCGCCGCGCGACGTCGCACTCGCCCGTCGGGATGGGCGAGGGGAAAATCGTGCACACTACTTACCGATTGCATAAAAGCGTGCGAGAGATTTGCATTGCAGGCGGTAAACGTCTTGGTCTGCTAGCAGAAAGAGGACGCCAGTGTGAGGAACTACCAACACCACTTTCCTAAAACGAGGGAACAGGTGGCAGTACACCTCTTTCTAAGTTCTATTTTTTCAACTTTTGAAGAAAAAATACTTTTTCCGTCATTTTTACTTTAGTTTTTCGCTAGTTCTGACAAAATTACTCTCGCTGACTTTCCCGGGACTGCAAAGTTGAGTAGTGACTTTTTACATTCTACAGTTCTTACGGAAGAAGCACCTCCAAACACAGATGGCAGACGACATCAATTGAAGTCGTCCCGATTAAATTTATTTGACCTTGTTTAGTGAAAAATTTGATGTCAGACAGTGATTTAACCAATTTTTGGTGTAACTTCTATTTAACTGTCGCCTCGTATCACTAAAAAAGCTCATTTTTGCTTCGAACAAGGTTTTGTTTATTTCAAAGGAGGTTATGGCTACTACTTCAATGGCCATGGAGCAATCTAAAGAAGTTGACATTTATCGAGACACGCCTTTGAGATTCGTGGGTGAGTTTAGAGAGCAGGCTTTAAATTTTAAATCTTTGCCTGTGAGTCTTCTATCAGTCTGATTTTTGTGTTTCAGGATATACAAATGAAGTAGGTGAAGCCTTTCGACCTCTCGTTCACAAGAACATTGTCAATTTGAGCTACGCAGCAGCATTTATCTATGTTTTAGCTGATGTTAGAGATAAAGCTATTAAAATGAAACAGGTAAGCTCCCACAAGTTTCGTTATTTTTCTTTGCGATTTATGCATTTGGTTCAACACTTGTGTCTCCATTTACAGTCTCTTTCGAATACGGACCACTCTCCTTCATCGGTTAACAAAAAAGTTGTTATAGCAGGTGCTGACACACTTCTTTGGCAGACATTAGCGTCCGTTGCAATACCAGGATTTACAATCAATAGATTTTGTGCTGTAAATTACTTTTTGTTAAAAAATTATGCAAAAATCCCTAAACCTACCCGTAAGTATGTAACAACAGCTTTAGGCCTACTGTGTATTCCATTCATCGTCCATCCAATTGATGAATTCACAACATATGCTATGAATAATACAATTAGAAAGTTGTATTTTAAGGAATAGAGGAATATCTTCCACGTTGTTTGCAAGAATAGAGATCTATAATGACAATATTTTAACAGAAACAGGGAATCTCACTGCCATACAACAGTCCATAGCTAGAAACCTAGAATGCTGATTTTCATGTCTGCTCAAGAACTTTAGGCATGGATGATTTAGTTGTATCTGAGTACTGAAGTCAATGTGTTCTTAGAAATAAATTTTAGTGAAGTAGAATATTGTGTAAGTGCAGAAGTAAGGTTTCAGGTAGTAACATTCCTTATCATAGTTTCTGTGATTGTTTTAGCTTGTATCTTGCATGGTTGACGTTTAAATATAAAATTTATGCAAATTTGCAGTATTTATTTCAACAATGACAAGATAGTATTGATCACTTTCCTTTATTAGAGTAAAATAACTATTTCACATGGGTATTGCAAGAAGAGCATCGATTTACAAAATCTAATTTTGTAGACCAAGGCTCCTTAACCATGACCGAGGCAATCTTATCCACTCAAACAGGTGAAAAAATAAATAAGTTGTGGACAAGATTTCCTCAGAATACATTTTCACTGTGGCACAATATCACCTTGCTTTCATCAGAGGTTTCGTCACATATTTGTGCAACATCATCTTCCGTTTACTTCAAGATGGAAACGAAACTGCCCCTTGACGCCAAACTAATATCACCATTACTACATCAAAATTCTTAAGCATGTAATGGTAGAATAGAATGATGAGAGTGGCAGATTAAACAAAACAGACGGAAGCACAGAGGTGGACTCAGGAAGGTGGAAGGGAGGAGATCTCAGAGAGGAAACTCGAGCGCGGCATGCTGCAGCAGTGGTTAGTATCTGATGGTGGTGAAGGCTCCGTACTTGTTGGTGCCCTCGTCGGAGGTGTCCGTGGTGGCCTGCTGCTGCGGGCCGTCCGCCTGGGCCTGCTGCAGGGCCTGCGGCCTGCCCTCCATGGGCCTGACCATGCCCTGCTGGTGCTGCACCGCCTGCACCGGGTGCTGGTATGACGCCGTGTCCTCCACGACGTCGGCCATGTTGTCGTCGGGCATGGTGTCGGCCGCGTTGTCGGCGTCGTCGAGGTCCTGATCCTGCTGCTGCTGCTGGCGCCGCGACACGCCGAGGTCCTCGTTGAGGCCGTAGAAGCGCTCCGAGTCCTGGCACGAGATGGCGTCCTCGCGCCGGCTGCACGTGAAGGTCTCCTGGTTGAAGATGGTCTCCTCGGGGCACACGAAGCTCCACTTGTACATGGCGCCGCGGCCGTCGTCGAACTGCACGGGCAGGCACACGTGGAACAGCTGGCAGTCGTTGTCCGGGTCCGCGTAGTAGCCGTAGTGCCGGCCGGCGCACGAGAAGCGCTCCGACAGCATCTCGCCCGCGCGGATGGAGGTGGCGTTGGACGGCAGCCCCAGCCGCAGCGCCGCGCCAGTGTCCCGCGCCACCTGCGGGCCGCCAACCAAAAGCTGCACTACATGGAGGCGGCAAGCAAGTCACTACACTGCACCGCCGGGCTTACCCTTATCCTAGGGGCGGCGGCGGCCAAAGCAACCACCAGCGAAGACGCTGCAAAAAGTAGAGAGAGAAATGTAAGTGAGGCCAGTTTCCTATCAGCCTCGAAGCTAGAACGACGACTGTAGGCGTCATTTCAAACAGCGTACCGAGCACAGCGACCACGACTCTGTCCATGGCGGTGCCGGGCTTTGCCTGCAACAGAGCGAAAGGGTTATTTACCGAGGCTGGGCTGGCTGGGCCTGTGCTTGGTGGGGCGCCGCCACGCCCGGCCCGGGCTCCCTCCCTAGGCAAACGGCGTCGCGGGGCGCGGGGCCCCGTCAGGTCACGACCCCGGCACGCGCGGCGCGAGGCGCGAGGCGATGACAGGCGGGCGGCACCAACGGCACCGCGCTGCAACGGACACAGCCTGCCGCCAGGCCGCCACCGGGGCGCACCGGCACACCGGCACTCTGTCGGCGGCAGTCATGAGTCCATGAGTCACGCTCCTTCCGGCCTCCAGCCCCACACCGCCCGGCTACACTGGAAGGAAGGCCCCGCCACCCCCAGCCCCCGCGGCCCCACACTGACGCCGCGCCGCGCATCCCAACGGGACTGGCCCGGCCGCCACGCGCCGAAAGCACGTCGAAATCGGATGGAGTGCCCCAAGGCCAAAGGCTAAGCAGCACGAAAAGTCTTCAAAGGCTGATGCGGCATTGATTTGATCGTAAATTGGTGAAAATCATTGTTTTATTTGTAATGTTACGTTCAACGCGAGGAAGTAAAATGAAACCCCTGAAAGGTCGCGCGTCTCTCTTCAACTGGAGGTTCGAAAATTTCAGGATACAATTAACCGGGATTGCAAACAGTGGCGTCGGAAGTCCCTCTCGCTGGGGGGGGGCTCAAATATTTTAAAAAATCCTTAAGCGCGACCCCCCCCCCCCTCATTTTACGTGATAGCCTATTTTAATCCAAAGGTACTCCTGCACAGGTATGCACTATGAATATTCGTCTAAGAAATTTAATGTAAAATTTGCGGTTGTTTTCTCTTTAGATTTTTAATGTTTTTGACATGGTAAATATTCATGGACTGTGAACGACATGTTATTGCATAGAAATAAAGTCACTTTGAAAAGCTACTTCAAAGTGCGAGCGAAGCGAGCTTCAAGCCAACGACGTTTGTTTCCTTTTAACTACAAGATGAAAGCAAGGAGCATGCTTTGAAATGTCCATTTGTTCGTGGCGTGGTTGCTGCGACACGTCAAGTCGCCTCCAGGAGCGTCCAATAGCGTTACGCGCAAAAATTAAATATGGCTATCGCTCCGCTCGGGCCAAAAAATGGGGGGGGGGGGCTCAGCCCCCCCTGGCTGGCGATGGGGGGGGGGGCTCTGAGCCCCCTCGTCACCCCACTTCCGACGCCACTGATTGCAAATTAACTTACTTGTTGAAACTGAAGTAAATCACAGACCGCACTCCTCCCCGACTCCCCGAAGCACACGCACACACCGCACTGCGACCGCACGCACACACCGACCGCCTCGCTAACGCACTCCCTGGCCTCCAGCGGACACAGCGCGACTCCTCCAGGCTACGGCAGTGCGACTGTTTTATACTGCGAGCCCGGCCCAGCCCCGCCCAGCCCAGCCCAGCACCACGCCGCCACGACTTGCAGGGCGCCGCGACGCCGCCAGGACGACGACGACGCCTGCAGCACACACACACATGCACACACACACACACACGCGCGCGCAGGGGTCATATGCATGCAGCGCAGGGCCTCTCGGCCGTCGCCGCCGCGGACTGCGGCCCGGTGGGCCGGCAACCTGTCCCGCTGCTGAACGCTCTGAAAGCTCCGAAAGTCCCGAAAGCGCTGAGCGCTGGAAGGCGAAAGCCCAGAGAGCCGCCCCGCCCGAACAGGGGCTTCAGCTTTGAGCGGTCTTCAGCAAGCTTCAGCCTGCGAACCGGGGGTAGGCCACCCGCGGGGGCGGCGTGCGCGACGGGCGGGCATGCTTCAGGCGCCCCGCCCCGCCCCTCCGCTTTTCGGGTGCGTCCGAGGCAGTCCGAGGGGCCGCTCGCCCTGGCCATTGGGCCAGTCCAACTTTGGCGCGGCGCACAGTGGGCCAGAAGACCGGTGCAGGTGGCCAAAACGCTACGCGTTTTGAGCTCCAAGTCGCTAAATTGAACTCGAACCGAACGTGTGATCCCACCAATGGATTCCTCGTTCGGAGAGCAGTTCATTGGTGGGGTCACACGTTCGGTCCCATTTAGCGACTCTGGAGCTCAAAACGCGCCTTGAGTTTTGGCCGCCTGCGCCGGTCCTCTGGCCCACTGTGCGGCGCCTCGCCTCGGACGCGGCCCGACAATAGGCGATACTGCGGCACACGAACGGGGACGGGCACGCCAGCAGGCCGAGCAGGCCGAGCCGAGCCGCCTGCATTGGGCTCATTTCAGGGTGCCGTTCCTCTTCGGACGTGATGACCATTCCCTGCGTGGGGCAGCGGTATTGTCTGTGTGACTGCGCGCGCGTGTGTGTGAGTCGGTGTGAGTGTGCGTCTGTGTGTGTGTCACGTCTATTCTGCAGCAATTACTGGCGTGGCCCGGGCGTGAAGTACGCGCCATGCAGCACACACATTTCCTGCCTCGCTTTCCACTGGAAAGAAAAGCCCTCCGAGGGGCTCTCGCTGGAAAATGCGCTGCGTTGTGATTCCCAGCTCGGCCCGGCTGGGCCCCACTGCTGGAAAATGGTTTTCCGGAGGGACGCCACCGCGGCCGTCGCGTGTGCGTCTTCCCGGCCGTGCACGTCCGCGGCGCGTGCCGCGTTCAGTCCCTTCGCCGCCTCGTGTCGATGGGCCATACTCGAGGCGATCGGCTCAACGGCGTCGTACCAATAAGCAATCAACGCCCCGCCCCCACCGCCCCGACACGACCGCCAACGCCAGCGCATTGACAGGCAAGAAGATGGTGCGGCAGACCGCTCGCTTCCAAGAAGGGTCTAGAGTAGAGTGCTGGCACCGCTGGGACATTGAGCGAGCTCCCCTAGGACGACCGTGACCTCGTTAGCAATAAAGTCATTGATTCAATCACTTTTTGACCAACTTTGCGAAGCTGTTGCTCCCAAAGTACACGATAAAGTCGTGTCCTGGGAAAAACCAAGATCGAAAGTATCCAAGGTTGTACAGAGGGCGAGGCACAGGGCGACGGAAAATCGGAGATCGGAATCAGTCTGCTGCGGGCTTGCCGAGGGCTTGCCCATGCAAGCGTGCGTCGCGAGGCGCCAGCAGTCTTTCGCCTGTGTCTCTCGCACTCGTGAAGCGTTCCGATGCGGTGCTAGAGAGGCTAAGCGACGAAGCAGGACGCTATTCGGCCGTGCGTAATGCGTTCCGGGAATACGAAATGAATCGACGTGCCGAAGGGCCAAGGGCAGCCAAGGGCGGAGGGCGGACAAGGGCGACATGCGTGCAGTCATGAGGCGTTATTACCAGCTCTGCGGCCCAGGGTCTGTGCCTAGGGCCTGTGCCTAGGACCTGGCGACACGAGCTGCAGAGGGCCCCGTTTGCGGTGTAGGCACGGGGAGGGGAGGGGGACCTTCGACTTGGCGGCCCTGTAGGTGGGGTCATCAGATGCCTTCGCGTCGCCCTGCAGTACGCCCAGCCAGCCCAGCCGGCCCAGCGCCCTCAGGACGCCTAGGGACGCCCTGGCGCGGCGCCCTGCGGCCATGCCTGCGGCCCCTCGCGCGGCCCTCACGGCTTCCAGACATGTACGGACTGAAGACCGGAGACACTGACCCGCTTCCCGGGCCCTGAACCCCGCCAGGCCGTGTTACCTCGAGCCGCGGGACTTTTATCGAGATGCAAAGTTTCGTCGTCGTTCTCTATCCGCGCAGGACTGTTTCCGTGGGGATTACCACGCCCCGACGCCGCCTCGAGCCGCCCCTTGTCCCTTGCCGACGGCGAGGGCAGCGCCACCCCTCCCCCAGGCAGGCCGAGGCAGGCGGGGTAGGCGTCGCCGCCACCCCGTGGGCGTGGCCTGGCCGCGGCCTGGCGGCGGCGCGCTGTGATTGGCTGTCGCCATCCCGCGGGAGCTGGTCCAGCCTGGCCCAGCCTGCCGCGCCGCCAGCTCGGCAGTCCTTGCTCCGCCGCGCCCGGGACGCGGCCTCCTTCCGCCTGTCGGAGACGCCGAGGCCAGGACCAGCACAGTGCCAAGTGGCGAGGGCACAGCCATGGTAAGCACGAGGCCCTGGGTGGGCTCGCCCTGTACGCCGTGGACGTCGTAGAGCGCCTCCTCAGCTGCCCCCAACGCTCTGCCCGCAGCCCGCCTGCACGCCGTTGCCGCTGCCCTTGCAGCCCCTCGGGCAGGGCGGCCAGCCCGCGGACTCGGACCTGTCCCCCACCGTCCCGGACAAAGGCACCGCCTCGCCCGCCAGCTCCGCGGCCTTCGCGGCCTCCGCGGCGGACGCGCGGCACACCAACGGCGGCTTCGGGGCCGCGGCCATCCAGGGGGCCATGACGGCGCCGGGCGTCCGCGCGGGGCGCCACACCGCGCTGGGCTGCCCGTCGCCCGGCAGGGGCACGGCCTCGCCCAAGGGGTCGCCCAGGGGATCCTCCGTGCGCGACTCGCCGCGCGGGTCGCTGTCCGACGACGACGACTGGGAGGGTGAGGTGGACCACGACGACCTGGCCTCCACGTCGGACGGCTTCTCGCTCTGCGACGACGACGACGACGAGTCCACCAGCTCCGGCACGGCAGGCCCGCGCTCCAGGACGGTCCTCAGCGTAAGTAGACCGAACGCCTCGTTTGTAGCCATCACTATCCCATCAGCGTGGTGACGTCGACGGCCTCGTCCACGCTCTCGTTCCAGGCCATGTCACGCGGCTCTCCGCTCGGAGTGTCACCCTCGCCGGCGGGGACGTCCCTGCCCAGCCCCGGCCTCGGTGGCGGCGGCGCGGGCCCGCCCGGCCGCAAGGTGTTCACCAACTCGCGCGAGCGCTGCCGCCAGCAGAACGTGACGGGGGCCTTCGACGACCTGCGCAAGCTGGTGCCGCGCCACCCGCCCGACAAGAAGCTGTCCAAGAACGAGATCCTGCGCAGCGCCATCAGGTACGCCAGTTCGTCGCACTGTAAAGCGGAAGAGTGACCCAAGTCGACCTATCCCAAATTTGAGTTCTTCCCAAATTGGTCATAACCAATAATGTCAACTATACTTTGACTATCAATTTGAACCCTGAACTGAACTCTCATTTGTTCTTGAGTAATGCTATGGGAAAACAGAAAATTATAAGAAAACATGCACTACAAAATCAAATGTGTGCTTAGTACACAGCTGTGGGAGTATACTTGCAAGTACACATCTATATGTGTGTACTTGACAAGCACACATCTATAGATGTATACTTGGGCAAGCATGCATCAATAGGAGTGTGCTGTCAAATGGGTGACATGTATGTGTGCTTGTCCCAGTACACAGCTATAGATGCATACTTGCTCAAGTACACATCTATAGATGTATGCTTACCAAGCACACACCTATAGATGTGTACTTGCAAGTACACTCCCACAGCTGATGCTAAGCACACATTTGATTTTATAGTGTGGCTTGCACTTTCCTGAAAAGTGAGCGAATTGTCCAGCTTCACAGTCCATGGAACCTAAACCAATGTCCATTTGCACCAGGTACATCAACCTCCTGTCGTCCGTCCTCAATTGGCAGGAGAAGCAGGAGGCGCTCACCAACAACAACGACAGCATGGCCTGCAACAACAACAACACCGTGTCCGTCAAGGTGGAGCCCTCCGCGTGGATCTCCCACAACAACCCCCTGTCCACGACGGACTCCTGCGCCGTGCTGGCGAACCACGTCGTGCACATCTCCAGAGGGAACTCCATCACGGTTAGTACTAAGTACCAATGCACTGTCAAAATCTGTTGTCGCTTTATGACAAAAACGCGGATGATATTTTCATCACTTCGAAATAATGACTGTCATCACAAATTGATGACATTTTCATCAAAGCTCCTATACTTACTGCATGAGCGTGACAACAATGTCATCATCAGTTGATTTGATGACATTATTGTAGCATTGAAATTGTCATCAAGAGACGACGCAAATTTTCACAGTGCGGCTCCAAAGGCCAGAGAGTCCACACCGTCGCACAGTGCATCATGAAGGCTTACAATCAGCTCGCGTTGCAGAGGATGCCCGTGCTGGTGGCGTCGTCGCCCGCGCCGCCGGCCATCCCGTCGTCGACGGCCGCGTCCAGGGCGACGGCCAAGGGCGCGCCGCGGCCCTGCGTGTCCGGCGGCGGCGCCAGGGGCAGCGCGCTCGTCAGCTTCATGTCCCGGAGACCGCCGGCAGCCTCAGGGTGAGCGCGGCGAACAGTGGCGGTCCGCCGCGTCGTAGAGCACCATGGTGACGATGTTGACGGTGTGCCGCAGGTCGCCGCCCGTTCCCGCCGCCACGCCCGCCACGCTGCAGCCCAAGACGGAGCCCGCCTCGCCGCCGATCAAGATGGAGGTGACGGAGGACGGCGACGGCGTGCTGCAGCAGCCCGCGCTCCCGGCCGCGCACGCGCACATGATCGGCCTGCCCGTGCTGCAGCGCGCGCCCAACGGCGTCCCGGCCGTCCAGGCGCCCAGCACGGCGCCCTTCTCCAGGGGCCGCAGGGGCGGCGGGGGCCTCACCGCGGGGGCCGTGCTGTTCGGCGGCAAGGCCGGCAGGATGGGCACGGGGGGCTTGGTGGCCGCCAGGAAGAGGAACCCGCGGATCTAGCCGAAGCCTCGCCGTCGACCCGCCTTCAGTTCCCATTCCTTCGCCGAGGAAAGCGTGGCTTCGAATCTCGTGATGGCCTCGTCTTGTATGTAATGTAGATCGATAAGTGTTGAGCTGCTCGCCTGTGATCTTCTGTTAATTTACCATAGTCCAATCCAGTAGTGAAATCACTAGTAAAACTAAAGCGTAACTATATGCTTGAGTCAAGCATAAAGTTACGCTTGAAGACGTTACGCTTGAAATCAAGCATTGGCTAGAAATTCCCCCATGCATTTAGATAGGGGGAATCTTGGCAGATGAGCCTGTTACGCTTGATTTCAAGCGTAAACTGATTACGCTTGAAAACAGTGGGTAATACTACGCTTTAGTTTTACCAGTGATGTACGGTAAGATGAGTACACTTTAAAAATCAATAATAAAGAAACAGATTGTATGGTGAATACAGTTTTCCTTTTCCCGTGTGTCCTTGAAGGGGCCTGCGTTTCGCAGTCCATGCGATATTGCCACGTGGTTCTTTCTATCACGCTGCACTGCACACGATGGAGGGTTGTGGAGACAGGGGCGGGCGGGGCGGGCCAGCCACGCCTACCGCACCCTTTTCCTCGACGGCCGGGCTGGCCAAGGGGCTGGCCGCCTCGACGGGCCTGTCGGTCTGCACACTCATTCCGAGAGTCGTTTTCGCCGCTCTGTCTCTCTCGCCCTCATGAAGTGGCCCGTGTATGTGCGAGAGAGACAGAGCGACGAAAACGACTCTCGGAATCCGTCTGCTGTCCGCGACGGTTCACTAGTACATATTTCTTATCGGCCGCGGTGCGTCGTACTTGGGGCCTGCTCCGCCTGCCTCGCCATCTGCGGTCGGGCCGCCGAGGGCCGCCGAGGGCCACGTCGACCAGCCGGGCAAGAAAGGCGTGGCGATAACGGGACCGAAATACTACGCGAGGGGTATCAACTCCTGGAAGCGAACGCAAACGGCGGCGGGCACTACGGCGCACTGCCGGCTGGAGGAAAAACCGCCTCGCGACACACTCACACACACACGGTCACGTCCAAGCCACGCCACGCCGCCGCTTCGTCGCTCTGTATCTCTCGCAACCTTACGGGAGGCCCCATGAGTACGAGAAAGACAGAGCAGCGAAACGGGCCTTCGCACAGTGGGCCAGAAGACCGGTGGAGGCGGCCAAAACTCTAGACGCGTTTCGAGCTCCAGAGTCGCCAAGCAGGATTCGAACCGAACGTGTGACCCCACCAATGGATTGCTCTCCGAACGAGGAATCCATTGGTGAGGTCACACGCTTGGTTCGAGTCCCGTTTAGCGACTTTGGAACTCAAAACGCCTCCACCGGTCTTCTGGCCCACTGTGCTTCGGACTCATGCGGCTACAGCGACAGCGGCCGCGGTGGTGATGGTCGCGGAGTTCCCACGAGGACTGCAAGGACGACGAGGACCGGCAAGACTTCCTGACGTGTCAATTAATAAAAAATCGGGCTTAGGAGGTAAACGCTATCTCTGTTCTGACTTAGGGTGGGGGAGCGCGGCCAGCGCGGCGGGGGGTTGGGGGATTAGCGGTGGGGTGGCGTGTGGAGAGGACGTGGCTCGCGGTGTGTGAGCGTTTGTGTGTGTGAGTGTGAGAGAGAGCGCGTCAAAGTCAGTGTGTGCATGTGTGTGTGAGGATGAGGACCTGCATTAGCATTCATTGGCCAGTGTGAGTGAGAATTAATCGAGCCCTCCCCTCCCCCTCCCCCCGCGCACACGCGCCGCAACACACACAGTATAAACCTGGACACGCGTGGCGTCCGCGGCGTCTGCCCGGTGATCGGCTCGGCGCCTCCACTGCGAGGAGCGGGCCGAGGGACGCCCCAGTCTGATTGTTTGGTCGTCCAATCCGGTGGAAGGAGAGGGAGAGTGTGTGGTTGTGTGTGTGAGTGATAGAGAGAGAGAGAGAGAGAGAGAGAGAGAGAGAGAGAGAGAGAGAGAGAGAGAGAGAGAGAGAGAGAGAGAGAGAGAGAGAGAGAGAGAGAGAGAGAGAGAGAGAGAGAGAGAGAGAGAGAGAGAGAGAGAGAGAGAGAGAGAAGGAGGGTATCATCTTCACGGGCACGTGGCGGCCACGCGACGCGCACGTGTGTTTGTCCGTCAGTGCTCTTTTTGCAGCGACTCATCCTCGCCGGCTGACAAAGAAGAAGTGGCCTGTTACTTTCGGAATCGCAGCAAAATCATTATTTACAGAAAGAGAAATCCCGTTGCATGGATAATATGAAATAAAATGATAAAATTATGGTCAGCCATGTGTTAAATTGAGAACCGCGACTCTGAAAAGGTCCCGGTGCGATGGCAGTGCGTATGGTGGTGTGAGAAAAAGGTTCACTGCCTGGGTTATGAGGAACTCGTCGCGCACCGCTCGTTTCTTCGTTTTCTCGTTTTCCCCGGAATCACGTCATAAATGTTTCAATTTCGGCGCGCGGCTGCGTGTCGCGTGGCGCCCCGCCCCGCCCAGCCTTGACTGTCCCGCTCAGTCTCACTGACGGATCGCTCACACTTCGGCCTGCGGGCTGATCCCGAATAATGCTCTCGCCGCTCCGTCTCTCTCGCACTCATGCGGCCGCGTCCCGCCGGGGTGCGAGAGAGACGGAGCGACGGGAGCCTCGTCGGTGGCGCTGGTCGTCACACCCCTCCGGCCGACGGCTTTTTAATGTTCCCACAGTGCGGCGTGCGTCGCCGCGTTTGGCGGCGTCGGCGTCCCTCCCGCGGCCGCGCACGCCGCACCCGCCGTCTTCCCCGCCTGCTCGGCCTGCTCGGCTTGCTCGGCTTGCTCGGCTCCACCCCGACCTGCCGCAGCGACACAGCGACACGACAACGCGCGGCGCCCCGCCGGACTCGCCGCCGTCCCGCCCTCTCCGCGCTGCGAGGCGGGGAAGCAGGGACACCGTGGGGACACCGAGGGAAACCGCCACCCGGAGGGCGGCGGACGCGGCGACGCGGCGACGGCGACTCGTTGGCGTCGACGAGCGTCAACACGCCAACAAATTGCGCCCGGCCCATCCAGCTGGGCGGCCGTGGAGGGGAGGGGAGGGAGGGGAGGGGAGGCGGGAGGGGAGGGGGCGGTCCTTATCGGGCGCGTGCAGGCAGCCTCCCACCCTCCCCCACCCGCCAACCCCGCCCCGCGCGGGAATCAACTAGCACGGGGATCCCTTATCAGCCAGGGCCAGGCCTCGCGCCCGCCACCGGGGAGGGGGAGGGGGGAGGGGGCGGTTAAGCCCCGTGCCGGTGCCGACGGCTGGAGCATGTTAAGTCAGTGTGACAACGAGCAGGCGTGGTCCTGGAGAGTCTGGAGGGCGTGGACGGCCTGGAGAGCGCGGACTGGCCGCGACAAAGAAACGCAAGGCAATGAGAGAAGTAAAGGCTGCAGGGGATAGTTTGCGGTCCAACGTTTCTCAAGTCAATTCGATGCATCCGGTCAGCAATGGCCGATCTACAGAGCGCTTGGGTACAAAGTCCGATCTACAGAGCGCTCGTCTACAATGACCGATCTACACGGAACTATTTTGAAAAGACCGATCTGTATTTCAAAGCTTTTTTGCTACCTCTGTCAATCCTAAAGTACGACTTGTAAAATTTCGGAACATTCTGTATTAGAAAATATGATAAGCATACTTCGATATAAAGGTTAAAACAACATTTTGAACGTTGTATTTTAACTTTGACAGAGATGGAAAAATAGCTTTGAAAAACAGATCGGTCTGTTCAAAATGGTTCTATGTAGATCAGTCATTGTAGACGAGCGCTCTGTAGATCGGACTTTGTACCCAAGGGCTATGTAGATCGGCCATTGCTGACCGGATGCATCGAATGGGCTGTCGGCCGGGCCCCGTGCAGGCAGACGGGCCCGCCGCCCTCCGGAGCGCAACGGGACTGCCTGCTCGCCAGGCGGTGGCCGCTCGGCCGCTCCCGCCCGGACGGTAGGCCACCCATCCGACCCGACGGTCGGGCGGCGTGCCTGCGTGGAGCTCGCAGGCGGTGACGCTCGGCCACCAGTAGGGCTCTGACTTTTGCCCGGGTACCCGGGTTACCCGGTTACCCGCCCGCCCGGGTTGGACCGGGTCCGCGGGTAGACCCGGGTACCCGGGTATGCGGGTAAACCCGTGGACCCGGGTCCCGGGTCTGCGGGTCTACCCGGAGCCTTGGATCCACCGCCCTAGCAGTAGGCAACACGCAGTGCGCTCCAGTGGGCCGTGTTGCCTACTTCTAGGGCGGTGGATCCAAGGCTTCGGGTAAACCCGCAGACCCGGGACCCGGGTCCACGGGTTTACCCGCAAACCCGGGTACCCGGGTCTACCCGCAAACCCGGGTCTTACCCGGGCGACATCGCCGGCCACGTCCGGCGGAGGTCGTCGAGTTCAGTTTGCAGCAGCAGGCCGTGTGGAATCGGCGCGTAGGTTTGCTCGTGGTGGCGGTGACAGCTTCCCTTCCAGCACCTCCCCGACGGCACCTCGGCGTCGTGGGCGTCGCGCGCGTCCACGCGGTGTCATGGCGGCCATGGCGTCACCCGGCCGCACTTTCTCTGGCGGTGCCGCGGTGCCGTGCCGCGTTGAGCGGGCCGGGCAACGTGGCCCTCGTGGCCCCGGCGGTCGAGACGGCCGAGGTCCGAAGTGGGGGCGGGGGCGGAGTTCCGCGGCGCAGATACGCCGCGTTGGGGCGCACCGGTTCGGCGCGGAGTATTCCCGAAGGGCACAGTGGTGGCAGTACGCACCGCGACGAGGGCCTCCAGGACTCAGAGTGGGTTCACCCGCGTCCACATGGCAGACTAAACCCTCGGCGCACAGTCACACTTGAGCAAAATAGAGCAAGCTGTTAAATCCGAGCCTCGTTTCTGGTTTTTGTGGCGCGCGGTTGCGTACGAGGTGTTTTTCGGCCCGCCACCGTGCGGGCCGTGCCCCGGCCCGCCGGGCGATACCGAAACAGAATAATGAAATGGAATAAGTCCCCACTTTCTCCGCGTCTGGCGGCACGGCGTTGGCAAGGCGCACGCCACGCCACGCCTGTCTCTGGCCCGCTTGCCAAAACGCGAAGGGGACGGCGCACTGTTCGCGAATATCGCGCGCGGGGCCGGGGTTCGAGTCCCCGCGCGGTCCGCTGCCTGTCCTGTCGTCGTCAGGGCTGCCGCGGCTCCATCGCTAGGCTGCCGCGCTGACGCATGGGCCTTACGCCAGACCGCGGCCGCGCCACGCCACCTCCCGGATTCGAGCGCGAGGCGCGAGGCACTGCTTCTTGCGGCCCGGGTAACCCCCCGATGCGTCCCGACCGCCAAAAGAAAGGCCGCGCAACATCGACGCGGATTTCTTGGCGACGACGGGGCGCTGGCGCGGTGCTGGCGCGGCGCCTCCTGGTGGCGTAACGCATAACGCGCAGCGGGGCGCGGAGGCGGGGGCGGGGGCGCGCCACTGACACACCCGGTACCGGTACGACGCCGCCAGCCCACGACACGTCACCGCCAACCGAAACGGACATCGGCTCCTGCTTCCTCGCGCAGGGCACCGCCTGCTCTGTCTGTCTCTCTCGCACCTCTCCGGCACGTCCCGCGAGTGCGAGAGAGACAGAGCGGCGCTCTCGAACGCAAGCCGCACGCGCGAGCGCGGCACGCATGCACAGCACGCGTCGCGGCGTTACTTCCCGAAGACCGCTTCCGCTTCCGAAGACGAGCACGACCAGGACGGCGATGACGGCGGCGACGGGGAGGACGTCGCGGTGCCTCGTGCCGACCAGGACCGGCTTCCAGTTTTATTTCTTGTGCCTCGGAGTATTTTCCGGTGTATTCGGAATCCGGGCGAATCTGGAATCGGTCCGCTTTGGGGCCGAAATCGGTGGAAAATGAAGCCCCCCCCCCTCCCCCGGCGCCCTTCCGCGGGCGACGAGGCGTGGCGGTGGCGATGGAGGCATTATCCGGACTGGATATGACGGTGCGTGGCGAGGCGTGGCGTGGCGTCGCTGGGCGTTGCTTGGCGCGGCGTCGCCGTTGTCAACCGAGACATTCCTCGCGCCAATTTCGGAGCGTGTCCTGCTGCCGAGTCCTGGATACCTCACTTAGTGTAGACCAGTTTTGGCGGACTCGTTTTTGAGCTCCGTATAGTCAAACCGAACACGTGATACGGTACTGCTATGGATTGCCCTTTGAACGGGGAACCCAACATGGTGAGTTCGATTCGAGTCCCCTTCCCGGGCCATGCAGTTCAAAGCGTGAGTGTTTGTCCGCCTCACTGGGCCTCGGACTGCTGCAGACTGATTCCGACAGTCCTTTCTCCCTCACACCTATTAGGGATGTCCTATGAGTACGAGAGGGACAGAGCGACGAAAACGACTCTCGGAATCAGTCTGCAGGACATAGCGACGTGCGACGAGGAGCTGCTTTTGACGGTGTAGCGCGCGGGGCGTGGCGGCGTGGGGCGCGGCGGCGCGGCGCGGGGTGCCTTACCGCCCAAAGATATGCAAGCTGCATGAGGAAGGCGAGGGCGTCGGGCAGGAGAAGGGCGCCGGAGGGCTTACGAGCGGCGCGCTGGGCGGGGAAGGGAAAGGGAGGAGTGGGAGTGGGGCAAGGACCTGTCCGAAGGGACCTGTAGGGCCCAACAAGTGAACAGCGCACCTGCGGCGCTGGCATGGCGCTGCGCCGCCGGGCCGCACCTTCACCTCTTCGGCCGGTGGCGCTGCCTGGCGGTCGGAACCGGAACGGGCCGCCCTTCCCTGCCCTCCCTTCCCTCGGCCTTCTCCGCCTCCAGCGCGTTCTCGGTGCTCTCGGCCCACGACGACGACGCGCTCCAGGGCGGCCGAGCCGAGCCGAGCGAGCGTTGACTTCAACGGGGGGCATGGAGGGGAGGGGCGCGGGCTGCGGGCGGGCCCCTCTCGGACGGACGACGGACCTGCCCGGCGAGCCCCTTAGTGAATCGCTCGCCGTGGTGCCGCTAGCCCGGCCAGGTACATCGCAGCGCTCCGCCGCCCCGCTGCGCCGGGCCGTCGCGCTGCAGTCCCTCAAGTAGTGAATCGTGCCGCCCGCCCGACTCGAGTGACTCGCGGTGCCCCAACAGGTGGATTTGGTTCATCTATTCGTGCGTGTGTGTGCGTCCAGGATACAGCACCCAAGTGTCTGACGGCAGTGTGTGCGTGTGTTTCCGCAAGCGTGTGTGTGTGTGTGAAGTGTCAAGTGAAGTTCCATTTCTGCCAGTGCAACACCGCATCCACCAGTGACTCAGGATTTTTCGCAAGGATTCAACCACCGGCCTCCGTCCAGGTAGCCTATTTTGACTCCCTGCGTGGCTGTGCACCTGTACGCCCGGTCAGCCGCCGGGGCCGCCAAACAACCACTACAACTACAGTGCACGTGCGAGAGGGATTTCACTCGGAGGAGGCGACACCTGTAGCCGGGAGGGGGGGGGGCGAAGGGCAAAGGGTCCGGTAGTGTGCCGGAGGGCCCGAGTGGGGGTCAGCACACGCGACGTCGCGAGGCGCACGACCTTAATTGTGTGGTGCAGGGCGCAGGGCGGCAGGGCGGCAGGTCCGCTGAGAAAGGGCCGGCAGGGCACGGCACGCTTCGCACGGCGCGGCTAACGCGACGCCGCGACGCCGCGACGCGTCCTCGGAGTGAGTGTGAAGTGCGAAGGCAGCGCAGGCCAACCTGCCGCACCGCCACTCCGTTTCCGCACACGGGGCTCGCAGCCACTCGCAGCCTGCGCAGCACGCAGCCTCAGCCGCCCGTTGCCGAAAGTGTGCCACGGAACACAGAGTGGAGCCGGCCGCCACACCGCTGCTGCTGCGGTGGTGACGGAGGGGGGGGGGGTCCAGCCAGGAATGCCGTGCCGTCAGGTATCGCTGCACGGCTCGGCTCTGGACCAGATCTCATGCGAGCCTGGAGCGCTGGCGGAGCCTTTGGATGGCAAGCTCAAGACGGATGGTGCAGTGTGGAGGCATCCCTGGTCCCCGTGGGCCTTGCTGGCCTTGCTGGCGACGACGGCGGGGGTGCGAGGCGACGCGCTGCAAGTCCATGGTGCAGCCGGCGGGGATTAGCTGGGAGCGGTCCAGGCCGCGGACAATGGGGCGATGTCATTCATCTCCGCCTCCTTGCAGCCAAGTGGAGTCGCTCTGTCCCCCTCGCACCTTGCGGGGCAGCCCTTGGGTGCGAAAGGGAAAGAGCGACGACGTCACCGTGCGGAATCGCCCCGCTAACAACGCTTCCCGGCGAACCAAGCAAACCAAGCCGGCAGGAGGGGCGAAAAACACCTGTCGTCGTCGCTTCCTGTCCGAGGCCGCGAGGAGGAGGTCCCTGTCGCCGCGTCAGGCCGCACGGGAAAGGCGGCTTCGGGGCTGCGTGGAGGCTGCACGCTAGGTTAGGTCAGGCTGCGTGGAGGCTGCCCTGCTGCTCCATAGAGGCTGCACGGAGGCGCTGCTGCAGACGCCTGGCAAAAAGGCCCGCTGTCCGGACCCGCCATTTACGCCTGCCGACAAAAAGCAGGCAAAAAGCAGGCAGCGGTACAGTGCGGCAAATTGGGCCGAACGGCCGAACCGCCGCCTTGCCTTTCTTGCAACCTTTTCCACTCGGGCGCGCAAGGCGCAGCGCGCGGCAGTGCAACACGTACGAGCCCTTGGCTGCCCTTGGCGCGGCGTCGCGGCAGTGGGCCAGAAGACCGGTGGAGGCGGCCAAAACTCTAGACGCTTTTTGAGCTCCAGAGTCGCTAAACAGGGCTCGAACCGAACGTGTGACCCCACCAATGGATTGCTCTCCGAACGAGGAATCCACTAGTGGGGTCACACGTTCGGTTCGAGTCCCATTTAGCGACTCTGGAGCTCAAAACGCGTCTCGAGTTTTGGCCGCCTCCACCGGTCTTCTGGCCCACTGTGCGCGGTGGCGGAGGCCCCAACGGGGCTCGAACCCGAACATCTTCTGTTCCCCCAGTCGGTGCGTCAAGCATCCCGTCACCCAAGCGCTGCGCCGCGCCGTGCCATGGCCGTGTGTCGCGCTGTGTCGCAACACGAGTCTCGATTCGGCGGCGTAGAAAGTGCATCGGCGCCGTCCTGGAGCAGTCGGGGGCGGGCAAGGCGGGGCCGCGCTGCGTTGTCGTGACGGAGTGTCGCACGACGTCTCGGAGTCGGAGTCTCGGACTCGCCTAATTAATGAAGCACGACTCCCCCTCTCCCTGATTGTCCCTTGTTGTGTAGAGAGGCGTGCTTTGTTTTCTTTCTGCCGCACTGCACCGCGCTGCCGTACTGCTGCGTCTCGCACTTCGCCGTGAATGGCATCGCAGACCAGGAAAGCTGCTCTGACAAAAAAAGGGAGCTGGGATTTTCGGAGTTTCGCAACAATTCTTGACGCATTTTGAGCTCTAGAATAGCTAAAAGGGAGCCGAATCGATCGTGTGATCCCACCATTGGATTCCACGTTCGGAGAGCCATTCATTGGTGGGGTCACACTTTCGGTTCGAGTCCCATTTAGTGACTCTGGAGCTCAAAACGCGTCTAGAATTTTGGGCGTCTCCACCGGTCTTCTGGCAAATCCACTGTTCGGGGCAACGTAACGGACGGTAGCGGGCCGCGCCGCCCTCTTCGGGAAGTCCCCGCGAAAGCGCCTACTGCAACGGGTGTACTGTGTGTGTACGGTTCGGCCGTCACCAGCCAGACGGCGACCCTTGCGACCCGCGGCCCGCCCCTCTCGCCAGTCACCGCACTGCCACTGCTGTCGCGGCGCACGGCGCACTCGGATGACAGGATCACGCGGGGCATTACAGTGTGCAGGATTACCGCACGAGGTGCGAGGACCTCGGCGAGGACCGCACAGGATGCGCCTCCCGACTTTCTTCAATTACTCGACACAGGGACCGATTTATTTTCCGCCTGAAAATAGTGAGGTCGATGGCCCTCCCAGAAAATGACGGCGCAGTGTCGAGTCGGGACGGATGTAAGTAAAACTGCGTGAGTCCATCTTCCCCCTCCATCCATAGCCAGGTACTGCAATTTCACGCGTCGTACCTGGTAAACGGCGGGAGTCGCAAGCACGGTGTCGACTTCATACTGAACGTCACAAAAATCAAAGATCGGATCATTGAAATAAGTTATTGCGAGTAGTCTAAATAACTGCGTTTGTGGAAAATGATTAGGGAAGTTCGTTGTTCAGACGCACCGGGGGCATGGCCAGCCTGGCCGCCCTGTCCTCGTCGTCACGTGACCGTTTTGTTTGGAGAGCACGCCGTCTCTGTCGCTCTCATTACGTCCTGCGAGTGTGGCGGGGCGGGGCGAGGTGGCGGGGCGGGGCGTGGCGGGGCGGGGCGGCGGCGGGCGCAGTCCCGGTGTGGGAGTCACTCTCCTTTCTCCTCGGCGCCGGCCTGGCCCTGGCCGGCCTGGCTCTGGCTCTGGCCACCGGGCCGTGTGCTTTCGGCCGGCCGGGCCTAATCCTCCTGGCGGACAAGCAGGCCGCCGTTCAGGAGTACTCCGCCAACAACCGAATTGTTTTCATTTTCACGTCAACAAGTGCTTTAGTTTATTTATTTTTTAGAATAAGGCGGCGGCGTGGCGGCGCACAGTGATTTCCATTGCACCTGTCCCAGCAGTCGTCCGGCCCCCTCCCCTCTCTCCACCGCAGCCGACAATCGTCCTTTCAAGGCGACCCTAGACGCGCCGTCCCGGCGGCCGGCCCGGCCGGTCTGGTCTGGCCTCTGGGCGACCGCGGCGCACCGCGGCGCCGCTAAGCCCAACAGGTGCCTGAATGGAGTGCGGTGCCTCTGTGGGCTTTCCGGTTCACGGAGAGGAAAAAAGAAAAAGGCTGCCGCTAGAAAGGGGATAGAATCAATGCACCGCCGGGGCGCCTCAAAGCTCAAAGCGTGGGCGTCGGGGGAAGGGAGGGGGGGGGGGAGGCACGCCGTCGTTAGCCCTTTCCCCGGATACTCGTCGAGACACTCGGAGAGCAGGGCGAGCACCCGGAGCAGACGAGGAGCGGCCCGGAAACGGCCACCGAGGCCCCAAACACGCAGGGCGGCCGCCGGGGACGCCGAGCCCCCCGGAACAGTTACGCCGTGACGTCAGGGCGCTCGGCCGGCGCGGCGTGGCGGGGCGGGGCGTGGCGCGTGCATGTGGCATAACAACAATGAGTCACCTGCCTCCGGTAGAGGTCCTCGTCGGCGACGTGGTCAGCCTGGGGTGGCACTCCGTCTGACTCCGTCGTCGCTGTCCACATCCGTGGTGCATCTGCACGGCCTGTACCGCCACGGCGAGGCCGCGCGCGGCGGACCTGTTGTGGCGGAGGCATGCCGCGGGGCGTGGCGGCCTGTCCCGCTAGGTCCCGGCAGTGCCAGCCCGGCCCAGGCCGCGGCGGCGGTCCGCGGGAAGGGCGCGCTAGCTATCGCCGCGCTATCATCGGCACGCACTTCGCGCAGCCCCCGGCCGCTCGGCGGCAGCACGGCGGCACCCTGGAAGGCTTTCCCCCTCGAAAGCGAGTTGGCACTGCGCAGGGCTCACACCGCGGCGCCGCTGGGCCTTTACAGTGGCGGCCCGGCCGGACCGCGGCCAGGACGCCGACGAGACCGACGCTGGCTTGTGCGTGAATCACGGTCCGATTCCCCCCGAATTCATTACCAGAACCCTCAACTCTCCAACGAACGGTGCCAATTAATCGGTGCACCCCGCGGGGCGGCGTACCGTGCCGGCCGGCCGGCCGCGCAGGCCCGCGTTTTGGCAATTAGGCCGTGCGCGCGGGCGCGGGGCGCGGGGCGTGGCCATGGCGTGGCCGAGGCACTGCTTCGCGTCCGCCGAGTGCGCCGCCGCGCTGCCCGTTGCCCATCCACGGCCAGGTTAGGTCACGTTACGCGACTAGAGTGCGGGGGGCGGCGCGGAGCGCGGTGGGCTTTCTCGCTTGAAATCCCAAGCACGGCGCGCGCTCTGCGCTTTCAGAAAGTGCGCATGGGATGGTGCGCACCGCATCGCCAACCCCGCACAAAAAGGACCCCGTCGCTTTCTACGATGATCCACTGCGAGGGGCTGTCATGAGCCGCCGCCATGCCGCCACGCGCGCTCTGTCATGAGTTGTTATTCCTTGTCCCCGCCCCCGCCGAGCGCGCCCGCTTTTATGGCGGGCGGTCTCGGCCGGCCGCGCCCCGGAAGGCCCTCTTGCACTTGCAGTCTTGCAGTCGACGCGGTGCTCCGTGCTCCCCACATGGTCCTGCAGCGCCAATTACGCGATGCCGCCGTGCTGACCTGGACGGCCGGGGCGCGGCGGGGATTTGAATGCCAGGCATACCAAGAGCTCGGGGCGGGGCGGGGCGGGCGGGCGGGGCGGGGGGGGGGCGGGGCGGGGCGGGGCGGGGCGGGGCGGGGGGGCGGGGCGGGGCGGGGCGGGGCGGGGCGTCATCCAGCACTCCTTGCCTGCTGTCGGCTGATCTTGGTCTTGGTGTGCTTCCAGGGGTCCCCGCCATGCAGGGCCTTCGCGCCCCCAGTCGGCCAGCGCGGTGAACGCAGCCGCCTCGTCCAGGAGGACTTCCAGCAGGACCGTGGCCAGGCGGCCACCTCCTCCAGCGAGATTCCTGGCATCCGGCGCTGGAACCGGCCCAGCCTGAGCGCGTCCAGCGTCCAGCCAGCCCACGGCCGCCTCTGCTGGCAGGACAGCCTGCCAAAACAGAAGAAGCAAGCATTCCAGCCTGCCCGTGTGTGTGAGAGTGCGTGCGTGTGTGAGTGCAGTGGCGGTGCAGTGCAGTGTGATGCCATTATGACGGCCTGGCCATGAAGAAGAACAGGAAGAGCGACGAGATGGCATCCCCGATGGCGGCGCTGCTGTCGCTGCTGGTCGCCGCGGCGCTGACAGGTAAGCCGAGAACGTGCTGCTGCACTGCAGGGCGGCCGCCGCCGGGACCGCCAGGCCGCCGCACTCCGAGTCGACCTTTGCAGCTTTGCCGCGCAAAGTATGAAAAATGGCAGCGTCACTGTTGGGGGTCCCCATGGGCCGCCATGCGCTCACCCGCGCGCTCACCGCTTCACCCGCGGCCGCGGAGAAACCGGCCTGACTCGGCAGATTCTCATATTCACTGTGAAATGGGCGGTGGCGTCCGGCCGCTGGGACGGAGTCCGACGGACAGCGGGGAGTTTTCGACTGTTACCGTGCTGTTACGTCCGTGTCCGTTGGTCCGTCGGTCCGTGTGCGCCGCCCCGCCAGGGTCCGCCAGGATGCCAGGATGCCAGGATCGTCACCCCGCGCGATGACGGTGGGCGTGGCGGCGGCGGGCGCACTGGAGTGCCTGGAGTGGCGGGGCCGAGGGGGCCGGCCCCCTGCAGTGCAGCCCCACCCACGCCGCGACCGCGACACCGCCACGCCGCTCGTGTCGTTTGTTTATACATTGACGGCGTGCTTGGCGTGCACGGCGATGCATGGCGGCGCATGCAGCGGAAACGCGGACCGTTCGGCAGCCGGCCGTGTTTGAACCGCGGGGGAAGCCGCGACCCCAGACCCCGGCGGGGCGGGGCGGGGCGGGGCGGGGCGGGGCGGGGGAATGGCACTACGGCACGGCGCGCGGGAATGCTGTAGGTGCGCAGGCGGACGACCCGGCGGGGCTCGGCGCGCTGCATGGCCGCCATGGCCTGGGTCAAAGGTCACAAGCCTTGGCGCTGACATACTCGGCGCACTTCGGCGAGCCGGCCGGGAAAAGTAAAAAGGTGTTTCGTAATTCCCGCGGGTGTGGTTTACGGCCGCGAGGGACCACCTCCGGTGTGCCTCCGGTTTATTCCATTTTATAAAAGCCGTCATTACACTGTCACGGTGCTTCGATCAGAAATGGCTTTCAGGATTCCCTATTTCGGAGCACGAAGCGGCCCACCCGGTAGTGCGCTGTACGGTCCTGGTCCCGGGGGTCGAGGCCGAGGCCGCGGCGAGGGAAGGCCCTCGCGGAGGCCTCGGCCACCCTGGCCATCCTGAGCCGCCATTGTCGAGACGATCGTTTCCTCCTCGCGAGGCCCGAGGCCCCGACTGCGCCGCGCGGCGCGCTGGGAAAAGGGCGGCCCTCGACTCGACATTCAGATTCCTCACATCGCGCGTCGCATTCATATTCAGATTGAAGCGCGCCCCGCCGCGGCCCCTCGTCGCCGGCGTGCTCCTGGAGGGACGCACCGAGGCGGACGTCGACGACGTCGGCGCGGCGTGTGCCGCCGCATAGGAATGGGTCCAATGCCGCCGGGCCATGGCCGGGCTTCGCCGGGCTGCCCGTTGTTGACGTCCACTTTATTTTCGGAGTCTCGGCGTGGCGCCCGCCTCCGCCTCCGCCTCTGGCCGACGTGAATGCAAGGTGCAAGGGATACGTCCACTCCAAAGCGATGCGATACAGCTGGCCAAACTCACGGCGTCCTGGAAACGTCGGGTTCCGTTAGGCCGGGCCAACCGCGCCCAGCCAGCCAGCCAGCCGACGCGCCATTGCCCGCTTGGAAATATGATGGAATCCATCCGCGCGGCTCGGCTCGGCTCGCGGCGAGGGGGGAGGACTCGCCTTGTTCGCACCCTTCACCCAAGGGGAAATAACCGGAAATATCGCTGAAGTTCTGCAAATCTAGGGAAAATTCAATGAATTTGTTTTTGAATTTGAAATGATTTTAGTGCATTGTGATGAACTACTTCTTGTTGCCGGGTGGGTTGACTACTGTCTCGCACTCCTGGAGGGAGGCCCCACGAGTGCGAGAGAGACAGGGCGACGAAAGCGCGCTGTTCGGAATCAGCCTCCTCCAGCCTCGGGCCCTTCTCGACCGCGTCCAAAATAAATGCGCGCGGCGAGTATGGCGATGCTCGCGGTGCTCGCGGTGCTGCAGCGTTCGTACGGCACGCCGCGGCTGGGCCGGCTGGGCTGGCCTACATAGCGCGCCGTGCCGGCCGCGCTGCATAGGTGGAGGAGGGGGCGCCGTGCCACGCCATGCCGCGGGTACGCCGTACCGGCCGGACGGGTCCGCGTCCGCGGCGTGGACCGCGAGACCGAGACCGCGACCTTAGCCTTGGCGGCGAGGCACGGCGTGGCGCGGCGCGGCGCAGCGATCCCACGGCGGGACGAAAGGGGCGCAGGGGCACACGACGACGCGGTCCTCGCGGTCCTGGCTGTCCCCTCCGGCGCACAGTGGGCCAAAAGGCGGGCGGAAAAACTTCTAGACGCGTTTTGAGCTCCAGAGTAGCTAAACAGGACTCGAACCGAACGTGTGACCCCACCAATGGATTGCTCTCCAAACGAGCAATTCATTGGTGGGGTCACACGATCGGTTCGAGGCCTGTTTAGCGACTCTGGAGCTCAAAACGCGTCCAGAATTTTCGCCACCCCCTCCGGTCTTCTGGCCCACTGTGCGGCGGCCTCGGCGCGCTTCTTCCTTCTTTTTCCCAGCCGTGGTGGTCCCAGCGTCCCAGCGTCTCCAGGCACACGCACTCCGGAGGTGCGAACGCGACTCGCGACCCGAGTGCGAGAGGCTCCCCGAACTGCCCCCGCCCCGCCGTACGAAAGGCAGAGCGCGGACTCGACCGAGGGCAGAGCGAGCCAGCGCCGCCGCACCGCGCACAAAGCACTTTCTCCCAGAGCCTGAGCCCGTGCAGTCTGTGCAGCCTGTGCTCGCGGTGTGGTAGCGCCAGCAGCACAGAGCGGCGCAGCGCGGCACAGCGCCGAGCGGCTGCCAAGTGCACTATTTGTCCTTCGGCAACGCAGCGGCGAAGCCACGGCGAGGCCCGCGTCCAGCCTATCAGCTTTCCCACATTTACCCCCCACCCCATCCCCTTTCGCTAGCCTCTATGACGCACACATGCGTGTCAGCTGCGGCCTGCAGCCTGCAGGGCACATCCTGCTTTCGATTTTTCGCGCTCCTGTTTAGCGCGGAACGCTCTGGAATAGTGGCGGTCTTTCTTTCTCGCTTGCCCGGCGGGCGTGTGTGCCATGCGGGCGTGTGGTGGCGGCCCACGGTGCTCTGTCTCTCTCTCACACTCCGGGCGCACCCCGTACAGCTGCGCGCGCGAGAGAGAGGCAGGGCGACGAAAACGACTCTCGGAATCAGTGGCGCCTCCGCCGCCAGGAACGCCGCGATGGCGGAGAGGAGATAGACCAGAACGACTTTGTTGGCGATAAGCATCGCTCGGTGCCTCGGCGTCGCTCGGCGTGGCTCGGCGTGGTGCGCAGTGTCAAGGAACCCACCTGTATGTGGCACCGCGAGCACCGCAGCAGCGCCAGCGCCGCCAGGCAACAGGTCCAACCACCTCACCTCGGCAGCAGACTCTTTCCGAAACAGCACTTCGTCGCGCGCCTCTCTCGCACCCCGACGGGCCGCCCCACGAGTGCGACAGGGACAGAGCGACGGGAGCCGTGTTCGGAATCAGCCCGCGGGGCCCGGCCGCCGGGCCCGCAACGAGTGACTCGCACATTTGGGCCCGTGATGCCGCCGACGCCATGACGGCCATGATCCTCCCCGCCGCACAGTGGGCCAGAAGACCGGTGGAGGCGGCCAAAACCCTAGACGCGTTTTGAGCTCCAGAGTAGCTAAACAGTACTCGAACCGAACGTGTGACCCCACCAATGGATTGCTCTCCGAACGAGGAATCCATTGGTGGGGTCACACGTTCGGTTCGAGTCACATTTAGTGACTCCGGAGCTCCAAACGCGTCTGGCGTTTTGGCCGCCTCCGCCGGTCTTCTGGCCCACTGTGCGCCGCGGTGCCGCGATGGCAACGGCAATGAATGGCGGCAGATTCCCTAGCCTCGCCGAGGGCCTGCTGTGCCGCGGACCGCGCCAGCCTCGCCGCGCCAGCCGCATCGCACCGGTGACCACGTATAAGTTACACGGCGGCACCGTTAAGCCTGCCAAGCCTCGCCTTCCCCGCCGCCCCTTCCCCTTTCGCTCGCCCGGTGGCACGGCGGAGCTCCTCGCCTTCTGCGGGTTCACGGCGGAGCCCTTCTCGACGGCGCCCCGGCAAAGCAAACGCCTCACAGTGGGCCAGAAGACCGGTGGAGGCGGCCAAAACTCTAGACGCGTTTTGAGCTCCAGAGTCGCTTAGTGGGACTCGAACCGTACGTGTGACCCTAGGGACCCTATGTGAACCCACCAATGGATTCCTCGTTCGGAGAGCAATCCATTGGTGGGGTCACACGTTCGGTTCGAGGCTCATTTAGCGACTCTGCAGCTGAAAACACGTCTAGAATTTTGGCCAACTCCACCGGTCTTCTGGCCCACTGTGCGCCTGACGGCTGTCCGGGTGCTGCAGACGGACTCCGCGTTCATCGTTCTGTGTCTCCCGCTCCCTCACGGGACGCCGTGAGTGCGAGAGAGACGGGAGGACTGCTCGGAATCAGCCACGCTGGTTATTTAATGAATGGCCCACGCCGCGTGAAGGGAATGCGGCGCAACCGCTTAACGGTAGCGCACACGGGGTACTCCGTACTCGGACACGGGGTGCTGGCCGTGCCGGCCGTCTGGCGCGGCCCGCCCGCACCGCCACACTGCCCAGGGTAACGCTGCCGCCGCAATACACTGCAATCCCGCCGAGAAACGGCCCAAAAGTGCAGCGGGGAATATCAGAGGGAAGAGCGGGGAGGGGTAACGGCTCGCTGCCATAAGCCTGTTCCTGGACGTTCCTGGACGTTCCTGGACGTTCCTGGACGTTCCTGGCAGCCCAGCGTGGCATCCGTCCGGTTTGGCAGTGGAGGGGGGAGGGAGGACTCGGCAGTCAATGACATTCTGTCAGGCGAACGGCGGACCGGCCCCGCCGGCCCTGCCCAGTCTAGGGTAGTTGTCGCGGCGGCTTCGCTGCCTCGCTTCTTTGCGTGGAGGCTGGCCAGCAAGCTGGCGGCCGCCGCGTCGCAGA